TGGTGGTATTTACAAATTTTATACATATTTTATACAAATAGTGATAATAAAAATATCTGACATAGAATCTGTATATCATACATCTCCTTTTCTCTGGCATTAGTAATCCATGGACAAGCCTGAATTTTTTTAATTATCTATCATATTTAGTGAATGCTAATTATACCAGAAGTGGTACTTTTGTAAAAGTCCAGGTGCAAGATTTAATCAAATTATCGTCATCTGAAGCTTCGCTTACTTCAATTATAAACGAAATTTACGTGGCACGTACGCAGATAATTTGCAAAATTTCGCGTGTCTCTGCAAATGTAATATTTATGCTTACGTAAAAATAACGTAACGCCATGAGTGTTTCGACTAACAAGTAATTAGTGTGGTGCAACTATATGGTGATTCATATCGAATCTTAATAACGTTACAACCTATTTGGACTGTACTAAATTTATAGTGTGTGACCGGGAGTGTGCCACCAGGTATCAAGGCCGATCCCGTACTTGTTGGACCAATCAACCCTTAAAGGTTATATGCCGAATACAGGAAAATGAAAGAAATTGTGCGGCAATATTAACACTACCTTCAGGAATGAAGACCGCAATTTAAGATTTATGGGTTTAATGGGTGACATAACTGTAGATCATGAAGTCTTGATTTCTTATTCGTGGTTCATACGTCCAGATAGGTTTTTTTTAATATGTAGCATTTCGCCTTCAAAAGTGTTAAATTAAATCCAATGAAAATATCACAAATGCTTACATTAGTGCATTCAAATCTATAATATAAATTGAAAGAAGAAAAATTAATATCTGGCCATCATGAAAATATATTTAAGGCTTGGACAGAAAATATTGAATATAAATGAGATATTGTAACTTTATAAAGTATAATGACATCTGGCATTTTCGAAAATCGGTGACCATTTATCATTGTAATGAACCATCTTGATTTTTAAGTACAAGGTGATATGTCGCGGGAGTAATTATTTCGTAAACCATACATCATCGTTGGGACCTTGTATTATCTTCCTGTCTTTTATATTGTCTTTGTTTTCAAGTCGGTCAACGAGGTGCTGAATAAGGGTTTCAAATTCAATGAGGATCGTGAGAGCATTCAATATTTTAAAGCGTTTTTTATTGGGCTGCAAAATTAGGACAAAACATGTTAAGATAATAGACCGGTATATATAGGTACTTACATAGAATCTATTATATTTGAACACGACAAACCAAAAAGATACGTAACAGTTAAATACAAAAAATAAACGGTCAGAAAATACAAATAAATATAAAAACAGATTCTCAGCCGTTACAATCCTTTTTTATTCGTTGTTGCTTTGAAATATTACGATTCATATTTATTTAATAAAAAGTAAACGATCTCACCCTAACAAGCGATCTCTTCTATCGTTGCGTTCCTCGACTGTTTTTTTATAATTTGCAGTTACTATCGACATTTTTAATTATGTTATCAATAAAATAGGTATCTGTTAAAACAATTTTAAAATTCGTTGCACTCATAAAAAAAACAATGTATATCCAATTAGCGAGTTATTGGCGCCTAATAGTTGATTACCAAAAAATTAATTTACTAGCCAATGTAGTGTATAAAGAAAATATTTGGGGATATTCGGTTAAATTCAATGGTAAATTATGTTAAAAATCCAATTCAGTTCAAAGGCTTTACATGCCTGGCCCTTAAGCTTTGACACTAAAGAAAAAAGGTTGTGACATTATTAAAACCGGAAGAACCTTTGCAAGTGGGTGAATGTATGGCAGTAATGTTGTATTAACCCCGATTCGCGAAACCGAGACACGATTTGCTTAAGTTTATTACATAACGTATGAAGCACACTGTGTGAGGAAATCTATTTTGTTTTAATTAAAATATTTGTGAAATAATTTCGAAATTAATTTCGGTGTAGTGATGATACTAATTGAATTTAGACAAGGTTAATATCGGAATCAGTCCATTTTTGTGTAAAAATCTTATAAAAATTTAATAAATATAATTTCATTGTTTTAATATATATGTTATATAAATGTATATATGTATATATAATATATAAGATGTTTATGTTCTTCTTTTAAAGATCTATATAGCTCTTTTAACTGAGCCTTTGTAGGCTGCATATTAGCTAGCTGATATACGCGCATATGTTTTTTTCAATGCGTTAAGTTCACAGATGTTGTATATCATGAGGCTAACAAAATAACATTTGAGTTGATAGAAAAGTTGTAACAGAGGCACCACTTTTCATAGTTCATATAATATACGTACAGATATTGCAATTTATTACTTATTTACAAATATTTAAACATTTAACTGCTGTGATTGATCAACTAACGGTTGTTAACGACATGAAGGCACTATTTAATTGGCCTATGTAATGAAGCAGGCTTTTAATGACACCATAAAATATGTTTATAGTTTAAGACGATAGAAATAAAATAAGGAATGGTATTAGGGAAATAACAACATCTAACCGGTGATAATGGAGTAACCATTACGTATGCGAATTTATTTACTAAATATTAGTAACGTTTTCACGTTGAACGCAAAAAATACGTTAAAAAGTCTACATTAACAAAATATACAGAAATTTAATTCCGTTAAATAACCTCATTTTGTCAAAAACAAATTAGTTTGTAAAGTGCTAAACTTTAAATTCCTTACGTATTAGACTTGAGTAACACATGGTAGGTCGTCACAATTTTGGGCAGCGCCCTTGCTATTCATATTTTGGTCAGGTGTTTTGAAATATATTCTATGTGTAACTGGCAAGACTAACGGTACGCATATCGTAAAGAACTTAAATTAAACCGTTACTGTCGTACATAAACTGGTAACCTAATTCAATTTTTTTATTCATGCTATCTTCGTAAGGCATGTTACGCCCGCGCCATTTTCCAATCACATCAAAATATTTTTGCTCTTATTTTTTATTATGTCACTGGAAGCTCAAACGAACTACGCGACTAATTCATCTTTGGTAGTTTCGCAAAATATTTTTAATTATACATTCGGAAAATAAGGGATAGTTTTGTTAATGCACCTCTCGTATAAAAACACTTCATACGTAGGCCACATTTTAAATGAGTAATCCAATAAAAAATACACCTTTAAGACATAAATTAGATTTGCATTGCTGTGTGCAGGCGCGGGTTGCGGATTAAGTTTGTTAATTTATTTTTATGTGTGGTTTATTATCAACCACAATATTTTATGAGTGGTTTCCCGTAATACAGTTGGAAATATGAAAGTCACATTGGTAATTCGCTTTCGCTTTAATTAAAGTACCAAAACAAATGACAGCACAGTAGAGTCAAAGGTGAAGCTCAGAATTTTGGTTTTTAGTCATGACAATATATTGATTTATGACCTTTAATTAATTAATTATCATTCTCATCACGTCGAAGGATAAAAAAAAACAAATAACTTCAATGGCTTTAACATATTTGTTAGGTAAATAAATATTCAATAATAAACGACCTCGTTTATTAGTGTCCTCACTAAATATATATTTGTAATAGTGCGTTTTCACAGATATTAAAATTTGAAGCAAATATTTTCAACTTTCGGATTAATAGATCTTAAAATCAGCCTTGCGATTCTGTAACTCACTTTTCGAACTCGCACAGCGCTATAATCAGTCGTGAAGCAGTCATTTTACGATTTAGCATCCTGATAAACAATAAACTACAAGCTCGCTTCTTATCAGAATGCCAAATCGTAAAATGACTGCTTCACGACTGATTTGAGCGCGACCGCCGCTGCAAAAACCGCTGTGCGAGCTTGAAAGGTGAGTTACGGAATCGCAAGTCAGCTATTGAAATGTCTTTCTTGAAAGAGATAAAAATTTATATGATAAAATTCTAACGACATACGTGACACCGTATGTATGGACCATTCGGAATGGAATTAATAGCAATAGCTCTAACAATTACTTCTAGTCGTGCTAGATCGAACCAGTTTTCATTTTTGATCTACTTTATCTTACTTGGAATCGTCGTGGGTGTGAGCCTTGTGGTTAAACGAAATATTGAGGTTGTGTGTTCAAAGCTCGGCTGTGTCATAATTTATTTTTAATTAATTATTTTTTTTTATTGACTTCAAAAAGAAGCTTATCATTTTGATCAGTATGTGTGTCGCACAAACTTCTCGGAATCTCAGTGACATTGAGATAATGATCATTGATAACTGATGTTCCTAATTAGGGAACAATCAAAACAGGTTTAGGACAAAACTGCTGACACGCATTTGTAATCGATAATTTTTTTCAATTTGTGCGTAATTGTAAAGAAAAAATCATAGGGACAAAGACAGTCTAAAACAAACAATTTACTACGAAGCTATGTACGCTTACTTGTTTTGAAGAGAATAATGTGTTCAATAAAAGAGATCCAGGTTTAATGTTTCTCTGTAAACTAAAACTACAAGACTTTAAAATGTAAGAGAAAAAACTCAGTAGATTATTTTGTGAGTGTAGATAAACGCAATTTGAGGAACCAGCGACCACCTTGTACACTGACCTAGATTTTTTCACCAAAACATTACATAAGGCGGTTTAGATAATCGAATAGAAAACTTTTGTCTGTAAGTGGTTACTAGAATTAAATAAATATGTTTTTTCAAGTCAATATATATTTCAGTATATCTCTTTGTTATTGAAATATTTTTGAAGCTTAATAAGGGGTTAATTTTGTATCAATTTGCTAAAAAGCTTATTGTTTAAATTTTTTGTAAATATTATTTTTTAGCCGTGGGGTAGAAAGCTGATAAGAAGGTTAATGTGGTGTTGGTTAGGTAACGTGTGCGTTGCGGAAGAGCCGTGAAAGGCGGCTCTCAATTATGTCATAAACCTGCCTCGGACACAGCCACAGACCACGAACAATCTCCAGTAATACATGCGACAGACTCGCAACGGCCGTTATATATTTAAGGAATCTTATTTCATTCTTAATTATTTAAATTTCTTAAAATTAATACAGCTTATGAAAATTGGGTCAATCGAATAAAAGGTGATCTATTAAACTAACTAAAAGCTTATAAACAAACTCACTCTTTAAAGCCCATAGCAGCCTATCCTTAAGTCCTTCGATGTACTCCTGCATGTCCTCTCTGCACTGCCCCGTCACGTTTTCTCGCAATCTGTTCCACTGTGCAACCAAAATTGGAGCATCAATCACTCTCAGCATACTCTCTAATCCAAGAAGATGTGTTTCATTTTGTTCTAGCCTCATTGGTATGCTCCTCTCGTTACTTGTCGGCACTTCCACTACATCTTTCGGCACAATCGTCGATTTCTCTATCTTAATCGTTTTAATATGCTGGACATTGTGCGACTTCTGCGTTGTCGAAATAGGCTTATCGGTAGTCGCACCTTCGTTGAACGTTAGACCATCTTCATCCGCAAATAAATCGAACGAATCATCATTGACTTTCGCATTTCTCGAATTTGAAATCGAACCGATCAAATCGGAATCTTCGATACCACCTTTAGCTGAAGATTTTTTGATGTTCTGAAAAGCGTCGATTAAAGCGCTGCGGAACTTTTCTTCGCGGGCACTTCCTTTAGTGTCATTTAAATCGTTACAGTAACAGGCTGCACTTAAAACTAGGATGGTAAACACTAGACGATACATAGTGTTAGTATCACAAGCACATGTCTTTAGACGGGTTTTTTTGAGAGGTGCGCGCGCGACGGCATAGTCTTATCGACTGACGGTGCTGAGACGAATTGTGGGGTGTGACATAACAGTTGTGGCTAGGGGCGAGCTCCGACTCACTTTCACTAGGGCATCCTTGTAGGGCGCGATGCTACACTTGTATTAGGCAAGTTAATTCTTACGTGGAGGCATGATGGATGAAAGTTTATATGGCCTTCCGTATCTTTTATTACAATATCGTTATGTATAAGTTACGAGGACGTTATGACCGAATAGAGATGATATTTCCTGAGATTGGTTTTGAATTGTCACGAGGCTTTACTTATAATTGAACTCTAAAAGCCTGAAAAAGGTAAACGACCATAGTAATTAATGTCGTACCAAAATGTGGGCCGCTAATTAATACTTTTTAAAGCATCATAAACATGTCAGCAACGCAGTTTTGATAGTCTAAATTGGAGTCGAACGTTCACAAATATTTCACATCCTGTTATAAAATAAAAGGTTTCGTGGTGCCGTTAAAATTAATCTAAAGTCCAATACAATCGAAAATAAGATAACTAATTAGTATTTAATGTCCATATAGAAACTATAAAGAATATAGTGTAACTACTCAGTGCTTTGCTCACTCAATGAATAAGTATCGCAATACAGCGAGGAAATAGTGCCAACATTAAAGGGACACTGCCACAAGGGCAAAACTTTTTAAATTTGTTTTTAATTTTCTATTCATCAATTTTTTATTATTATTATTACTATGTAGGTTAAGAATATTATAAATACTGTATATTTTAAATTAATTATTACTCAGTGGCATACAAAATCAATGTCAAATCTGTTACACTATGTGTTACGCCGATAATATTATTAGTTGCATTTGGACATAATATTATTCAATATACAAGTTTCGGTAACGTTTTTCATTGCAGACAAATCAATCTCTGTTTGACACGATTTATTGATTTTTGGCTGTAAGATATGCCGGTTGATGTTATTTATCTTCAGCCGCACCTCCACGCACGTATCCCTGGGTTCGATTCTCGGCGCATAATTTTTTTGGTTTGGTTTTGTAAGGAAATTGAGCCTTTCCTTAAAAAAACATTAAGTATATCTCAGTGCTGCATTAGTTGCAGTTTATTTCTAATTAGTTTGAAAAGGTATTTACATAAAGTAACTGGGTTTATTCTCATCAATTTCTCAATATAATTACTAGGCTTTTTGTCTAATTTCTCACGATACATATGAAGCGTTGATGCGTATTCATTCCCAGCAATTTATTACCTTTTCATCGAAAACAATGATATCTGATTATGTCAACAATTCCCAGTGTGTAATCTCTAAATGAATTTAAAAATATGTACTTTGAACTTTTATACTAGTCTAATTTAACTATGTTATATGGTTTCGACAATTTTAAAACAAAAGAGGTCCGTATAAACTTAGCAGCGCATCCCTTTTTAACTTAATTGTTGCATCATAATGAAAGATATACCTTATTAACAAATATCCCAATATTTGGTATAAGTAGCAGCACTTAAAATGTGTTTCAGATAGGTCTCATCTCTATGATAGCCATTGTTGCGGCATCTAGATGTATGGCCGAGAATATATTTTAATTAATATACGTAATTATTGAGTGTGTATGATAACGTTTATTTATTTATTTAAAAAAATTTCACACGAACGAAACCCATACAGACACATACAGAGAACACACAACATAAAAAAACACAATAGTTACAATCATGTGCGTCATTGACAAGTGTGCACAACATTTAAAAAAAAACATTACAATTATAAAAGAGAAAAGAATTAATCCTATCAAAATAAACTAGATTAATTTACAATTATTCAATAAAATATGCAATTTAAAAATGTGATATTTCTTCTTTGCAATTGTTATTGGTGACGGTACAATGGCTGCAGACGCCTGAAGACATGGAGAGTGTCATAAAATAGATCAACCTCGTATATCTTCAAAGCATCGCTTATGTATTTAAAGTGAGTTTTATTTATTGATTGAATCTGACACTGGTCATTTTATTAGAACACATTCCATTCAGGCTTAAAACGTTTGTTGAAGAATTTGAAAGCGTACCAACTAAGTAGGATACTCAAAAAATTAATATAAAAAAGATCGATCAAATAAGAAAGTGATTCGGGAGCATTCCCTCAGGTCGTTGAATCGTATGATGTAACTCGCTTAATTATATTACAGTTGCGTAAGGGCATTGTCTCCGGTCCTACAACTTTCTTGCATTGTGAGAAAACACAAGCACTTACAGCTTTATAGACATTTGACGTGGGGAACACTATTTTTTTTAGCATTGGCCAGTTAGAAACATTGCTAATGAAAACTTTTTTGAATTTCAATTTTAGAACTCTTTGGTAACCTAATGTAGTATATTGCATTCATTTGTCATTTGTTTTTGTGAATTGGCGACAAATCTAAAATTCTTGTTACACGTGAAAATGAAAATTGCGGGAAAATTTTCGGACAATGATTTATTATGACTTTCGTTGTGGGCTTACTCAACAACAAAGCTATGATAGGCTGCGATTAGCATTTCTTAATGAACCTCCATATCGTGCCACTATTTACAATTTGTTTAACGAGTTAAGGCGTGGACGTAGCAATCTCAATGATGATCCGCGTGAGGGACGTCGTATAACAGCGACTACTGAAGATAACATCATGTCATATGACATTAAAATTTGAAAGCCTGTTTAACACCATCTGAGGGTTACTATTCTAGACAGGTTTTCAATCACGACCAGGAGAAGACATTGGCAGATTATTTGTTAAAATGTGAATCAATTTACTTTGGTCTCTTGCCAGAAGAAGTGAGGAAGTTAGCATATAGTTGTGCTGTTAAATTTGACATGCCTAACATTCCAGTCTCTTGGCATAGAAATAAGGAAGCTGGAGCTGATTGGTTCACGGGTTTTCTGAAAAGAAATCCGAAGAAAAGAAGAAGCTGTTAAACCCTTACCTAAAGCACCACCGAGATCATCTACAACAAATATGCGAGGAATAAGAAAATCAGCAATACTGACAGATACGCCTGAAAAGAACGCTTTGGCTGAAGAAAAAGCAAGAAGAGGAAAGGGCAATAGGAAAATAAAGGGGAAGGAAAACAAGCGCAACTCTATAGTGACACGTTAATCCGTAAATGGTAAAGAAAATGCGACTTGGAAAGTCCTGCAAGAAGATGATCATGGAAGTGATAGTGAAGAAGACAGCCTGGAATGGTATTGTTTAATATGTTGCGACTCATATTCTAATTCACAACCAGGTGAACAATGGATTGAATGCGTCATGTGTAAGAATTGGTCTCATTTAAAATGCCTAAAATCTAAAGATGTTTATTACTATGTTTGTCCGAATTGTAATTCTGACGACGAAATCTTTAAATAATGAATTTTTAAGCACTGCGAGACTGAAATAAAACTATAATTTAAGTAAACCTTTAATTAGATTATTGATCTCAGTAAAGAAAATGCTATGAGACTGAATATAGAAACTTTTGTTGGAAATGTTAAAATTTGTTGATTTTTCTTTTTGTTTTAATTAAAATAAATGGTTTGGTTTTTTGACAAATTGATGTTTGTCAAAGTTGATTAATATTATAGATGTCTATTAGACATAAGCCCTAATTAATAGGTCGTATTACATTATTAGTATTAATACTTGCTACTATTTTGTTTATAGTTTTGTTTTCATTAAAGCCTGTTAGTTGAAAATAATTCGTAATCATTAAAATTTTGTACTTTATTCATATTATAAATGAAGCTTTCATAAATATTCAGAATTTTTTTTTATATATACTTTTCCAACTAATATTACCTCATTAATGCAGCATGACGTTCTCTTATAGACCATAGATTAAAAAACATTTAATATTTCACTAAAAGCTGACAGTCAAAAGGCCGGTTAGACTACTCGGCCTTGACTGGCCTGTAAACTTAGTAGTTGATTCGGATGATGTAAATAAACGCATTTCCAACACACAAATACAGAGTATTTACAATTTTCTTAACCTACATAATAATAATAATTAAAAATGAATCAATAGAAAATTAAAACAAATTTACAAGTTTGGCCCCTGTGTCAGTGTACCTTTAAACCTGTTCTTGCAAGTCTATTTAATCAGACAATCTATTTAGTTACTTCAATAGTATCTTACAAAAATGTATAACAAAATTATAAGTTTAAGCATATTTGAACACGACATGGCCAAATGTTTCCCTGGTGTAGGGGAGGCCGGGGTTCGAAGTTCCGATTTTTGAGTAAGATGTAATATGATAGAAAGATTAAAATCCACGATACCTGTATAAATATAATCAGAAATTATCCTTGTTTCAAATTGTAAAGTCAAATTCATTGAAATAATATTATTTTGGCACAGGATATTTTTTTTGTAGCAAGTCGACAAGGAACAACTCGCCCCACAAAGGGGCTGGTTGTTCCTTAGTTGAGGTAAGTTGTTCCGCTGTCAACTCCAATCATTAAACAGTTCCACACTGCTAGTGAATGGTCTACCATCGACTCTCACAATAACTACTACGTTGGCGTCATATCATTAGAGGTGAGGCAAAAAGCCCGGCGTTAGCAATTAGGGAATGTACAAGTATATAACAAAGCAGAGTAATAACTTTTGTTACTATAAAACTTATAATCTGTGTAATAACGGAAGTAACATTTTTCGTCTGCATCTATATATGCTACACAGATCATTAATTAGTAATAAGAATATTACGACACCTCCGGAAGTATATAGTGTCTTATATAGTAGTCTTTAGGCGTTAACAAAGATGTGTAAATTGTCTAATTTTATTCCGCTGAAATGATAGCTGTAAAGTATAGTAAGTAACTGATAATACGGTATTTGAACTTCCTTCTGCTGATTTCTAGGAAGAATAGAGTTCAACGCGCGCAATAATAACGGTTTATAAACAGATCAGAGCTGGCATAT